TCTAAACAAATATGTGGGTGGATTTTGATGTGAGAGGTAAATAGGGGATGGACTTTTTCACTGGAGGAAGCATTGTTATGGACATGTATTTTAGTTAAAAACGTCTTAATGCTGGATTAGTTTCAGCTTTTGTCTTCTCCAGATGTTAACTGATGGACTGGAGTGTTGTGGATTATTGTGATGTTTTTATCAGCTGTTTGGACTCTCATTCTGACGGCACCCATTCACTGCAGAGCATCCATTGCTGAGACACTGATGCAGTGCTACATTTCTACAAATCTGATGAAGAAACAAACTCATCCTAATCTTAAACACATTTTAATTTCAGCTCAACTATTCCTTTAAAGTGAGAGATTAAAGACGCTGTAGTGTTTGAAAGCATGTCAGGTGCGTCTGATGAATCCATGATTAGTCTCTGATCTACAGAATGCAAATATAAGTGTGTGTGAGACAGCAGACGTGACGATGGAGACAGCAAATCAAATCAAAGCGAAGGTCCTACCTCCTCGATCTCCTTTGTGGGGCGTGACGGGGAAAACGCAGAAATTAAAAAGGCTGGAAATGTTTCGTGCTTAAAAGAATCAATAACTGTCATGAATTCCTGCAGCTGTCAGGTGATTCGAGGTAAACACAGTAGAGATATGAATGAACCGAAGGGAGGGAAGGCAAACAAACGTGCTGGATATTTCCCATCAGCCCCAGCGCTCTCTCAGTGTTTCCTCATGAGTCTGAGGTGTTCTGTACCTCTCTGATCTCGTCTTTGGCCTGCTGCAGTTTGTCGGGTTTGTTGGCGTGCTGTAGTTTGGCTTCGGCTTCTCTCTTGCGCTGCAGCATCACCTGAGCATCCTGGCATTTGGCCCATGTTTTCATCCGCTGGTCAAACACACCCTGCAGCACAGACACGTGACAAAACCAGCGCATCATGAAGCCCTGCACTCATGCATGGGGTTATAGGAAGCCAGAATAGCCATTGCTCTAACACCAGCCTGACATGGCCAAAATATCATGACTGAATCTCATATCACACTATGAGTGACTTTACATCACATTAACATACTGTATGTCATAATAGTTATTTATGATGCACATGCAATGAAAAATAGTTTAACCCTGTGCACTCCTCATTTGGGAGTCGCACTCATGGTCTTCGCGGTCAAAAGTGACCGGACACCTGAAATGTAACTTTTTTTTTTCTTCAGTAAAATCAATCTAATATATTTTTGTTCAATAATATTTTTTCTTTTTTCTTTTGTATTTTGAGAGAATTTTATGGTACTAATTAATATTTATGCAATAATTATAATCAATTTTTCCCATTGAAAATAGTACAACATTTTTTTTCTTCTAATTTTTTTAAAATTATTTTTCAATTAATGCAGTATTTCAGATTAAAATAGAGACTAGGCCTTTAAAATCCAATTTTTGAAGGCAGAATAGCACCTCCTGGTGAGAGCAAAAAAAGAGAAAAACCTGTAATTTCATGGTGTAACCACTAGATTCCTGTATAGGACTCTATAGAGAGGCTTGTGAATTCCCTAGTTGTTTTTATACATAATTGTTTACTTTTATTAGGTTGTGGTTTAGAGTTTCACCCCTTCATTGCTGTGCAATTTTTTTCTGCATTGTGGGGGATTTGTAGATTGTACACAGAAACATTTTCTGTATTTTCACGAGTGTGACTATTTTTTTTTACGACCACTTAGCTTTTTCGAATCTTGCCCTCAATTTTTTTTGTGTTCACATACCAAGTGTCATAAAAGTCACCAGGTTTCGTACCATTCTGGTGAAGCTACGATTTTTAAAAATTCAAAATGTAAAATTCTCCGGTCAAAAGTGACCGAAGACCGCGGATAAAGGCTAAAAGCTCAATTGTAACACAAATGAGAAAGAGGGGATGTTACGTAAAATATGTAACAGCGAAAGATTATCGTACACATATATGCAGGAAAATGTAGCGAAGACCAAAGCTACAATGTAAACATGTATAAAACACACACAAACAAACCGTGTCTAGCAATAGTACAGGTAGTGTGATTTAATTTATCATTATATTTATTTAGGTTGGAAAATAACATATTATGTTCATTGGTACTCCTCTAATTCAAATAAGACTTCAAATTATATTACTGGCATATTTATTGGTAACTAGAGAGTTTATTAACGTATAACAACGTACGTATTTAAAATATACTATTTATTAATGTAAACTCACTTTTTTCAGTTTAGTCATCACTAGTGCAGTTGTAAATAATGGTCACCTAACCAAAATTATGCCTACGTTTAAATATTTGTTTTTTCACTTACATCTTTAAGTCTGCGGTTGGTCCGTGAGGAAAACTGCCGTAGGTTTTACAATAATCCTTAAATAATCTGAATTTCATCTGTATTTAGTCTAAATATGAAAGTTTCTCTTCACCTGTTGTTAACCAGAAGCACGCTTGATGACGCATAAGTGTGATGCTAAAATCTGATTGGCTTCAAAGGTCACTGTTAACTATGATTGGTTATTTACGCGATAGGACGCAAACAGAGGCAAATGACGTTGCGTTATTTGAATTTCAGTCCAGTGATTAAAAATACTTTTCTGTAAAAATAAATAAATTAAATAAAAGAAAAAAAACTCATTGTTATCTGAAAGACCTATAAATATTCATTAATTAACAAATTCACATTATTTATATGTACACTGAGTAAAAACAGTTATCTTTATGACTTTATGAATATATTTTTGTGATAACTAGGTTACTCCAAAATACCACAAGTTATTGTATACTTTTGAATCTGATGTATCCTATTAACATTTAGGAAACAGGAGAAATAAAATGATTTAGACTATTTATTCTCAAAATAATACAATTGTACACAGTGCCACTCATGATTTTGTTACACATTCAGGATAGGACGCAAACAGAGGCAAATGACGTTGCGTTATTTGAATTTCAGTCCAGTGATTAAAAATACTTTTCTGTAAAAATAAATAAATTAAATAAAAGAAAAAAAACTAATTGTTATCTGAAAGACCTATAAATATTCATTAATTAATTAACAAATTCACATTATTTATATGTACACTGAGTAAAAACAGTTATATTTATGACTTTATGAATATATTTTTGTGATAACTAGGTTACTCCAAAATACCACAAGTTATTGTATACTTTTGAATCTGATGTATCCTATTAACATTTAGGAAACAGGAGAAATAAAATGATTTAGACTATTTATTCTCAAAATAATACAATTGTACACAGTGCCACTCATGATTTTGTTACACATTCAGGAAAAACCACCATAAAATATACAAATGTCAAAACATCAACACTTCTGTTTAGCAGACACTCTCCTTTTGAACTGCAATTACATCAATTACACCATTCAACACACATTAACTTAGTTATTTACAGGGTGATGCTCTTCTAACTGTACAGTAAGCAAGTAACTATGAGTTGTGTACATTATGCACAGTAAAGGTACAGTATGTGAAAGGTATAAACAGTTAATAAGATGGTTGTGTTTGTTAGTGTTAGAAGAGGGCTGGCTCATTGTGACGCTGCTCTTGACCACTGGGATACAAACCACAGTGCACTACTGCAAGAGGAATGTTGTCTTTCTTGGTCTTTTTTGGAGTTTCTCTCCGTGCAACATATAAATGATCACAAGACATCAGAATGGGAAAAAGCAGTTGTTCAGATTACACCTGGCCTATAAATGTGCTTATTAATAAATACTTTCACATTCAATATCTAGACAAAAATAGCAATACCTAAGCAATGGCAGCATAAAGCGTCAATTGCCTTACGTGATAGGAATTATTGGTAGATTCTCTAATTTAAGTAAAAAATAAATGTATAAACAAATAAATACTATATGTGTTCTCTATGAAAGGGATTCAAACTAAGTGTCGGAAACGGCAGAACAACATTTATTATAAACACATTTATTCAAATCAAGTGAGACTTCTCTCACTACTCTGTCAAACCTCAAAGTGAGTCAGTGCAGCACACACGTGACGCTGGAATACTAAATCACCAAGCACAGGAAATTCAGTAGCGGGATTAATGCTCATAATCTTGATCACGTCATTTGCTAAAAATCTTTATCTTGGATATCTGAAATGTGAACTTGTCTAGTTATGGAGACCGTATACATTATATACAGTACAATTCATCGAACACTGGTTGGTCATTTTTGGTGATTTTAGTTTCTTTAGATGTATTATTTTTGGCAGTAAACTATTCTTGGCATAAGCTTTACTAGCTAAGCACTTTCTGTAATCTAAATATTTTTTATGAATCTTCTAATTAAATATATGTTTTAAGTGTTTTTGATAAATGGTAGTAGTGATCTGAAGTAATGAAAACGTATATATCTCTATGCACACTATATTTTATACAAAATGAACATCCTCAAGATTATGAAGATCGCCAACTATCACTCAAGGGAAAAACACTTTGGTTTTTCTAAAAGCAAAAAATTGAGTTTTTTTTTTAGAAAATTCCCTTTTTCTGTTTGATCTGACATAGGAAACAATGTCCTGTTTGATAATTCACATTAAAACTGCACTAAAATGCACAAACAGGAGTAAATGAGCAATAAATAGATAAAATCTTTAAAACATGAATCAATATTGCACCAAACCATCAGTTGTCAAACTACACAATAAAATAAAGCTCATGGACTATGAGCTCTCGTATCCTTTCAAAATATAACTAGGTGATCTGTGACTTTCCCCTGTGGTTACCTTCTTAATCTGTTTACCCTAAATAATCTTTTTCCAGTAAATAAATCTCTAGTATTTTATTTCTATCTTCAGTGTCATGGCTTTAATCATATTAAGCTATATATAGTTACACCGTTTCTTAGATGGTGGAATTAGATTTCTCCTCTTTACTAGAATCCACCAGTGGCTGGGTAACTGAGCTAGGTTTTTTAGCATCTGCCGCAGCTTTCTCAGATGAGCTTGCACCCTGTTCCAAGGAAGATTTGGAAGCTTCCACCAATGGGACCTTTTCTTTGACCGGAGAGGCTGGAAGTGCGACTCTGCCGGGCTCCTCCACGGAGGTGGCAGTCGGAGGCGGAGCCCCGCCAAAACCACGGGCGATGTCATCAAAAGTTCGCCCTTTAGTCTCCGGAACTTTGAAGTATGTAAAGACGAAGAAGATGATGAGGAAGATCATGAATATAATGAAGACATATGGCCCACACAGCTCCTATAATTCACAAACAATAAGAAAAAAGTT